CCCCCCCCCAATTAAAATCTACTCGTCACCTGCCTGAAAATACCCAATTAAAAAATCGCTCGTATTAATGAGAGAGGAGACCTGTGTATAACCTCCGATCTAGGAGGTGTTTCCACACGCACTCACATTGTTCTCAGAAACTGAAGTGTGTTCCTCACCGTCCCCCTAACCCCTTGCTGGCAAATAACCACGTCTTTCAGATCAGAAGAGCCTCTTTCCTTTTACCACTTTCCCTGTACTTAAGCAGCTGGATATTTCCCCCCTAAAAACATCTAACAAGGACAAATGCTTAGGGGCGAAAAGCCTTACACAACACAAGCACCAAACGAGCTCATTCTACGCCTTTCAAGTTATACAAGTTCTTAGAAAACAGTATTCCCTTTGTTAGATCGTAACAAAATGAAGGTAACACACCTACAGCAGGGCGGTTACCCTGTTATTGCACTAATCAAGCTCTTTGGATGCTATTAAGCTAATAAGCCGATGGAGATCTGAGGCGTATACACAATTTCCAGCTCCTCGCCTCTCCTTCCCTGTGCTATCGAGGCCTGGTGTGATTTTTCTCAATTCCTTTGAAAGAGACACCATAGACACCACTAGCAGAGGAGAAGGAGGAAACAATCAGCCAGCGGTGATTTCACAAAGGCACCCGCCTTTCATGACCGCGACACCAAATATTTCACCTTCCTTCGGCCGCTGCGAAGTTTTGTGGCGCTGGCAGGACGCGCAGCACGGAGCGAGGATGCGGGGTGCGCTGCTCCCGTAGCTGCCGGCCTGCAGACAATAGGCAACTTTACTTGGAAGGTAAAATATTATTGGAGCTTCGGCCGTCTGCCAGCAAGTAAAAAAAAAAAAAAAAAAATCAGATCCCGAGTTTGGGTTCGCCGAGTTAATCACTTCCTACAAAGTTATAGAGAAGCGGGGGTAACCTGAGGAGCTCCCGGTCATTCCAGGAGAAAGTGGGAATAGCGGGATTAAGAGCGACAACGACCACGACAGCGTCCTAACGGGAAAGGGGAGAGGAGGTGGATTTACCACCCCAGCCGGTGCCTGGCATGGGAAGAGCTCTCCTCTCCCCTTCGAAGACAGAAAGGCAGGTCTTACAAACACAAACGGGCCCCCAATCTTTCCAATGCCTGTTTTATCGGCTCCATCTCGGTTTGAGCAATACACGGCTCTGCACTTTACCAACTTCTCTCCCCCCACCCAGACAGCCCAGAAACAGCAGATGAAAGTTGCTTGAGGAGGCAAGTCCCCTTGGTTTCTCTCACTCCCCACTTCAGCTCTCTCCTTCCTTGCGCTTCCCCCCTTCCCAAGCACATCAGATCTTTACCCTGTAACTCCCAACCGAGCCCCAAATTCTGACTCTAGGACGAAAAACCAGGCAGCCCCCCTGAAAGATTTCCTGAAAGATAAAGACAAAGTTGAGGGAAGGTGGGGGGTGGGGGGAAGAGAGGAGAGAGAGCTGCCTGAACACGAAGTGTAAGGGTATCAGTCACTGCCTGGAAGGAAGCCCCAGCTTGTGAACTCTTCTTGAACCGACATTTAAGTCTACGGTCATAAATCACTGGGACATAAACTCCGCCATTCACGACTGATAGCAGCGTATTTGTGGCCTGCTTACCTTAACTTCTGACGACTGAGGCGGAAGCCAGCATGCTCGCTCTCTCTCTCTCTCTCTCTCTCTCTTTTTTT